ATAAGTTCATGGAACCGAACCACTTTCTTTGGTCATGTTTCTTTTTCAATAGTAGTAAGCCATTTTGGTTTGAACTTAAACGTGCCGGGGGGTGGCTTAACAAAGAAGAAGCGGGTTCTCCAATGATTGATCTTATTGTGGATGCCGCTAAGGAAATTAGCTCCCTTTCGGGTACCAAGGTAATAAGACCCGCTTTGATGTAAATCAAGCCCGTAACAGTAGAAGAAGAATTCTGGCTCTAATTTCCCAAAATGATAATGGCTAAGTATGGTATAGGCTATGAGAATGCGAATACTATTGGGTACCAATTGGTTGATGGGAAAGTTGTAAAGATCGGTTAACGTGAGCAGGTCAGGTCTTATTGGAAATCTAAGGCCGCTTTTTATTTGATCAACAAAGAACGTATAGAAGCCGGTCGGGGGTCGGTTATATGAGCTACCGGGTGAGGGCTTTTTGAATTCCCAATCGGGAGGAAGTTCACATAGCCTCTTGAAGGCCCTAATTTCGGGCTCTCCGGCGTTGAAAAATGGGTTGAGCCGCACTATTGCAACGGCCTTGGTGGCTAAGGTGACTTGAGAGTCCGCTAGGGGATCGGTTTCCATGGTGACTTGCGCTTGTCGAGCACGCAACTCAACAACGGGCAAAGGAACGCCGCGATGGCGGTCACAATCCAATGGAAGCACGTCACTGCCTAGTATCTCCGTAAAACAGTCACGGGAATCACCCCCGTCAACTCCATCATCATCAAATATCAAGGGTGACCTAGGGGGTATGGCTTGAGTGGAGGTCATGGGAGGTTGCGGGTACGGTCTTGAACTGGTTTCGGAGAGCTCGGAGGTTGCGGATACAGTTGTGAGGCCACGGGGACTGGAATCTATGACACACATAGTAATACGCGCATCAGAACGACGGATATGAGAGGTGCATAAATTCAAAACAGGTAACCGGTCTATTCTACTTAAACGGCCTAAATAATCGGACAAGAGTATCGTGGAGAATCGATGGTCGGGACAGTAAACTTTTTGCAGCAATCCGTAAGCACAACAACAATATATGTGAAGAAGCGCGAGGGCGGTGAGAGGCATTAACTTACCCATAGTCGTTGGCGGCGTTGGTCGACGGAGGAAAAATGAGGTAGTTGTGCGGCACCGTCGGAGGGGTCGGTAGTCACCGCTGGTATTTTTCGCCTTAGGGGTGATTGAGAAGCTCAAGAGATATATATTTTTATGTGAAAGGGGATTAAGTGCTGTGCAATATAAATGATGTAAAGAGAATGCAAAGCCCTTTTCAATTCCCACTAGCCAATTCAAAATTCAAAATTAAAAAATGAAGGGTCTAGTCAATTACACCTTGGGGGGATGTTGTCAGTAGTGGCAGGCATAAAGACGGGGCGCAATTCGAGGCATGCTTTTTCATTTTTTAAGTTATCTTATTATGACATGTCTTCTCCTTAGCCTTGATTGGTCGTTTGCTTATTAGCGGTGTTCGTCTAGTCGCGTTTGCCGTCGCTCGATCGGTATATAATTCTTATTATGGCGGTAATTATCAAACGAGTCCATCGAGCTGGCACAGCTGTTGCTCTTTTGATAATGGGGGGGGGCTAGATGATGTAGCACACTAAAGGGATACGGTTCACTGGACATATACCTGGTTTCTTATGAACAAACTCGGCCCAGCAATTAAGCGGTCCGCGCAAGTCTGAGTTGGTTTTCTTTA